TTTGCTCACACAAATGTAGGATCTTCAGCTGTAAAACTGTCTTAGCTGCTTCCTCCTCACAGGGAAAAAGTACTCAAGATCCACCCCTTAAAAGAGGAGAGGTGTATTTTGGCTCACATTCTCAGTCTGTGGCCGGCCATCTCAAGGCACAAAGACATGGCAAAAGGGTCTGCAGAGGAAGGCTGCTCACATCAGGGCCAGGCCAGGAAGCAGTGAGAGAAGCAGGAAGTGGGCAAGTGATGCACCCTTCCAGATCAAATCCAGATTATGTCCAGACCCTGCCTCCTTACAGCAAGTCACCTTCCCTCTCCTCCACTCTCTTCCCTTTTCCCTTTCCTTCCCTTCCCATTTCACGTGTATGTGTGTTCATTCTTATTTGTGTTTTTTTTTAAGTGGGGGAATCTTTTTGTGATAATCTTTAAAATACCTTTTTGGACTCTAACTAGAATCTTGACTTTAGCCCTGAAACAGAGGTGGAATGTGTAAAGAAGAGCCTGCTGGCTGTGGATTAGTGGAACTGAGCCCATTTCATTTTCTTCTAATCCCCTTTTCTTGAGATCCCTCCCCACTTGCAGTACCTAGAACAGTGCTGCCATGTAATGTGTTGGTGAGCCAGTCAGAGCGCATCCAGATTTACAGTTTATTAGCCAGCAGGTTGCTGTGTGTTCCTCAGTGTGAAGGTGGTTATAAATCTCTAGGGATTGCAGTTTGTAAATTTGATCATAGGAGTGGCCTACCAAAATCAAACATGCATCCTGTCTGCCCTAGAGTGCTGGAACTGACCCATGTGCTCCAAAGTTGGTCAAAGCTTGATTTCTCCATCTCTGAGGTAAAAGTTCTAGCAGGTGCCCTAGCATCCTTCAAATCCTACAAATGTACATCCTTCCCTAAACTTGCTTGGGAAAGAATAGTTCTGGGAATAAAAAAAAAAAAAAAATACTTAGGCATCTATCACTTCCTTCTCTGTTTGCCATCTTCGTTTCCTTAAAAGTGAAGGACAGTGTTTAGTTTTTGCATTTTTGGGCAACAAACCCTACCTACCTGGCCAGGTTAAGTAATGGAAGAAGGTTAGTTTTGAGTACTTACTCCCTCCCCACATGCCCAGCACTGAGGATTAAACCGAGGGCCTTTGCACTGAACTACATCCACAGCTCACGCTCTCTCTGTCTCTCTCTCTTTTTTTTTTTTTGTTAGACAAGACCTCATTGAATTGCCAAATTGCACAGACTGGCCTGGAACTTCCAGCCTCCCACAGTGGTGGAATTACAAGTATGTGCCACCAAGCCCAATTTGAATACTGCTGTTGAAGGACAAAGTTGCCATAGTTTAAGTCAAATAATCTTAATTGACTTTCTCATTCTAGATTTGGACATCACTTTATTTTATAAAATAACTGTCCCAGGAAGTCAGGCAGGAGGAGGTTGGGTGGTTTTAAAGACAGAAAGGCTGAAGCTGAGTGTGGTGGTGTGCACCTCTGATCCTAGCTGTCTGACAGGTTGAAGCAAAAGGATCACAAGTTTGAGCCTAGCCCAAACAAACTAATGATTTACCAAGACCCTGCCTCAAAATAAAACATGAAAATCAATGGTCCCAGATTCAGTACTGAAAAGGAAAACAAACTGAAAAAAGCAGAAACAAAAAGTATATGGTCATTTCAGAGTTGTTTTCCTTGTAAGGCAGGACAGGAAAAGAAAACAGTGTAATTGGGTAATTATCAGGTTACTTAAGGTTGGTTTTATTGTGTAAGTGTTAAAGCAGAGGGACTTGGTGATCATGCCATTTGAAACTGGTCCATCAGGAGATTTGGCTGTGACCTCTAATCCTTATGAAAGTCAGTTGATGCATGTTAATGACATGGACTGTATTTTTTGTTTGTTGTTTTGTTTTTTGAGTCAGGTCCTGACCGTATTTCAAGCTGGCTTTGAACTCACTAAGTAGCCCAGGGAGGCCTCAAATTTATGCCTCTCGCCTCAGCCTCTCCAGTGCTAGGTTTACAGTATGCACTACCACACCCAGTAATGATGTGAATTTTAACATGAAAGACTCTGTTTTGATTTTTTTTTTTAAGCCTCATCTGGGGCCCCAAGTGTGAGAGTTTTATCCAAAACAGTGACCTCCTATAATTTCTATTTAATACCATGTTTGTTGGGTGTAATCTGATTTAGCACTTGTTTGTTTGTTTTTGTTCTGGGAGGGATGGTATTCCTTGACAGTGCCAGAGATCAAACCTAAGACCTCTCACATGCTAGGCAAACACTACAGCTGAACTACACAGCCACAATCTCTGGTTAAACACATTTAGTATCTTTTGAAAAACAAATCTCATGGGAAGATAATAGCCCTATTGTATAGGAGAAGCAACGCAGGCTCAGCCCAAGCAAGCAGGCCCTGGTGAGCTTGGTGGAGTTGGTCTGAGCCCAGAGTCTTGGGCCTTATGGGTACTCATCCTCTGTGCTAGGTACTGGTGGACCCTGCCAAGAGGTAGGCACATCTGTCACACATAGGTGTGCTAGGCCCTGAATGGCTTCTCTCAGCCCCTGCACAATCAGTGTGTTCAGGCACTGGTTTGATCCCCATAAATTAGTTCATATCAGCTAATAAAACACTGAAGTCTGCCAAATGAGTTCTTAATAGTAAAAAGAAAAGTGCAAGCAAAACACTTTAACCTGCTTATTATAGTAATGGAACAGAACTAGTGGCCACATAGTTACTGTCACCTCTCAAGGAAGACAGGAAGATCAGAAATGACAGTCCCTTGGGGGCTGGGGATTTAGCTCAGCAGAGGCATAAGCACCTGCCTTGCAAGCAGGCAGTCATTAGTTCGATCCCTGGAACCGATAGAAAGGAAAAAAGAAAGAAATGACAGTCCCTTGGGAGATGGTCAGGAAAGACAGTGTCAATAGACTTTGTTTTGCCTGCCAGCGGAAGGTATAAACTGGGGTGACAGTGTTGATTGTATAGACTTGTTAGAGAGATGAAGATTAGCTGGCCAATGCATAAGCCATGAACGAGGCCCACTGTCTACAAGAAAGGTGACTTTCTGTGGAAGTAGAGCAGACTTTAAGCTTTTAGTGCTAACAGCTGCCATAGTGTGCATGTCATAGGTTCTCTACCACAGTCCTAAAATGTCAAAGGACAGTGTTCCTTAAGTTTTCTTAGTAGTTTCCTTGCCATGTGTGAAATGTGCACAGTCTTAGGAAGGAATCTGTTCCAGAGTCTTTTGTGTGTGTGTGTGTGTGTGTGTGTGTGTGTGTGTGTGTGTGTGTGTGGTACTAGGGATTGAACTCATGACCTCAGGCAGGTACTTATGCCGCTGAGCTAAATCCCCAGCCCCCAGAATAATACCCAGTGCTAACAGAGTCTTTTGTGCCTAAGGACTGTGCTAAGCTTTTATTTTTGGGGACACAGTCCACCCTCAAGCAGCCTCCTAAAATGTTACCTCTGTCTTATAGCTGGTAAGATTATACACTGTGACCACTTTACAGCTGATAACTCAAAGCTTTCAGGACTAGTTCTACACCCCAGAGCACAGATTATCCTTAAGGACTATTCACTCAAAAAAAGCCATTCACTTCTGCTACCCCAGTTTCTCTACTCTGGTGTCTGCTCCCACCCTGTTTCTCAATGTCTGCCTCCTAAGACACCAATGCCTGCCAAAATCAGGAGGGGTTTCCAGATCATCCCATGATTCCTACTTTCAGTGTCAGATGAAATGCCTTCCCACTGCAGCTGTGTGGGTTGGTTTTCTGTAGAGGCCGAGGCCTTGGATTCTGTCCACTATCTGGAAGCTGTATAGATGACCCTTAGTGGGAGCCCTGTCTAAGTGGGCATGCATGGAGGCAGAAGAGAGATCAGAGACAGTCTGGCTTTCTTCCTAGTTACTGTATGCAGAAATAAAAATCACACTAAAATTTGATCGTATATAAATAATACTCAATTGAAAGTTTTATTTTAGAGGTATAACCAGACTTGATCCTGGACCCTAAACCATCTTTTCATTCATATGATCCATTTTGACTTTCCCAGGTTAATAGTTAGACTTGATTTCTGTCTACATGTCCTTAGTCAACTGATTACATGTAGATCAGTATTCGTGGCAATATAAAGACCTAAGTCAGAAAACTAGAGCATGCTGGAGTTGGAACGCAGGCCCTCACCTGTGTTAGACAAGTGTGTTACAACTGAGCCACATTACTGTTTTCATCCATATCATGGTAATATATTAACCCCACAATAAACTAGAAATGTTCTATAATTCAGAAAGCAACATAATTTCTGATCAAATGGTAAACTGAGGCTGCACAGTCAAGGTGAAAAAGAAGATGCATCTCTAGGCTGGCATCTCGTGACTGTTTAAAATTCAGCGTATTATTACCATGAAAATGCACGTGGAAGAGGTCATTCTGTACCATTATTCCTAAAAGTTTCTGCCGGGACACATTATGAATAGGAACCAAGAAAAAGTCTCTGATCTTTCTCCAAGATGATAAATTAGTTTGATACTGTATTGGGAATTTTTGTTACCTGAAGATGTTTCTTTTATTATTCATTTCTGTTCATGCTCAACAGAAAGCAGTCTCTAGAGCCCTTTTCTTTGGGCTTGATTTTCACTCATGATAAACCACACCCAAGGGCACCTCTGGAAGGATTTCTTTGCCTCTATTGTGTATGATAAAGTTCGCCTTTGCCACTTTCAGCACTAGGTTCCCATTCTCCACATAGAGAGCTTTGTCATTTAAATAAATACTATGAAGAATACCCCCAGCTGACCACCTCATGCAGATCTTTTTCATGTACTGTGTGTGTTGCATAGAGTGTATGTATATAAGGTCAAGATCTGAGTCAGGGGAGGGCCTGCTCAGGACAGGAGGAGGCCTGTAGGTCAGCTGTGTGTGCTGGGAGTTGATAGAAGGCAGGTGTCCAGTGCATGCTGGCCCATTGAGTCAGGAAACATGCCCTCTTGGGCTCCTTGTAACATCTTCCTCTTGCTTTTGTGCTAGATTGAGCGGTTGGAAGTAAGCAGCCTCGCCCAAACTTCCAGTGCAGTGGCCTCCAGCACTGATGGCAGCATCCACACTGAGCCTGCAGATGGCATCCCTGACCCTCAGCGCACGAAGGCAGCCATTGCCCACTTGCAGCAGAAGATTTTGAAGCTTACGGAGCAGATTAAGATTGCACAGACAGCCCGGGATGACAACGTCGCTGAGTACCTGAAGCTTGCCAACAGCGCTGACAAGCAACAGGCTGCACGCATCAAGCAGGTCTTCGAGAAGAAGAACCAGAAGTCTGCCCAGACCATCCTCCAGCTACAGAAGAAGCTTGAGCACTACCATCGAAAGCTACGAGAGGTAGAGCAAAATGGGATTCCTCGGCAGCCAAAGGATGTCTTCAGGGACATGCACCAAGGCCTGAAGGACGTGGGAGCCAAGGTGACTGGCTTCAGTGAAGGCGTGGTGGACAGTGTCAAAGGCGGCTTCTCTAGCTTCTCCCAGGCCACCCACTCAGCAGCTGGGGCCGTGGTCTCCAAGCCCAGGGAGATTGCCTCGCTGATTCGGAATAAATTTGGCAGTGCGGACAACATTCCTAACCTGAAGGACTCTCTGGAGGAAGGCCAAGTAGAGGACGGGACAAAAGTTTTGGGGGTGATTTCAAACTTTCAGTCCAGCCCAAAGTATGGTAGTGAGGAAGACTGCTCTAGTGCCACGTCAGGCTCAGTGGGGGCCAATAGCACCACGGGGGGCATAGCTGTGGGGGCGTCTAGCTCCAAGACCAACACCCTTGACATGCAGAGCTCGGGGTTTGATGCACTGCTCCATGAAGTCCAGGAGATTCGAGAGACCCAGGCCAGACTGGAGGAGTCCTTCGAGACCCTCAAAGAGCACTACCAGAGGGACTACTCATTAATAATGCAGACCCTGCAGGAGGAGCGCTACAGGTGAGTGCCGTGGGGTGAGCCCTAAATGCCTGTTTGGGGTCCCTTCTGTTTGAGCATAGGAACATGGCTTTAGAAGGTCTTTATCTTTCTATAGAGTGTGTAGAGCACTTCAGTTGTATCATATGACATCCTCCATCAGAGATAACAAAGTAGAGGCATTGCAACCAAAGGACTCTGAGACCCACACACTGATAAAAGTGTCTCCCAGCTGTCCTGTTGCCATTCCACTTCGTATATAACGTGAAGCCCGGGCTTTCTAAAATATCCCTGTACTACTCAACCACAGAGCCACACAATCACTGTAGCCTGAACTGGTGCTGCATGGGGTACAGAAACATGTAGAGGCCAGTAGTGGTGGCACACACCTGTAATCCCAGGTTCTTGGGCAGCAGAGGTTATAGGATAGAGAGTTCAAGCCCACCCTGGGCAACATAGCAAGATCCTGTCTCCTCCCCCATAAAAAAGAATAAAATTCTGTGGATATCAAAGATACAGCCAGCCAAAAAGTAATGAATCTTGTAGGTATTTGGCCTTATACTTATCAGACAAATTGTGTAGAGTAATTAGACTACAAATAAATCCAGATAAGTATGCCTGTTGCCTTTATTGTGCATTGGCAAATGTTTGAATGGGGAGGAGACTGGAGCATGGATTAACTCTGCAGAACTGGAGAACTCTCAGGACTGAGCACTCTAAATTACCATCTGTGCCAAGGTAGGAGCCAGCTTCTTGATGTTTTTCTTTAATGCACTGTGAATCAGATCTAGGCCTCTGAGTGATGACCACATGATCTTGCTGAGGCATATCCCTGACTGGCAGCCTTGCCTGTGTTTCATGTCGCACTCCATACTCAAGAACACCATTCTTGGCTGCTCTCCAGACATGGTCCTTCACATGCACACGGAATTGATGTTGCACCTAGACCTCCTGACACAGACAGGCAGCAGACTCTGAGGCGCTGCATACTTGCCGACAGGGCTCAAAGGGTCTGGCCCTGTCTGCATTGTGAATCAGAAGAGACTCTCGTACTTCTGCTACAGTATCACAGACTGACACTCTGAGGATCCGTTTCACCCATTAAAATAAGCTAGTCTGTTTGTTTTGTTTACTTTTGTCTTGCAGTTCTGGGGATTGAACTCACAAGCCCTCGACCACTAAGTCACACTTTTTTATTTATGTTTTGAGACAGGCAAGATCCCACTAAACTGCCCAGGCTGGCCATGAATTTGTGATCCTCCTGTCTCAGCCTACCCAGTAGTTGAGATTATAGGCCACCACACCCTGTGCAAAAGTAATATTTTTAGAAGTCTGCTTTTGTGACGTAACGTCAGGGCCTAAAATAAGTTGTTTGCATGTATCAACAGTCTCTAAGGAGAGTTGAAACAGTGCTGTTCTTCAGGTGGCAAAAAATGCTGGTCAATGTTCAGTCCCGCTCTTTCCCTTCCCAAGTATGATTCTAGGGGAAGAGAGAAATGAGTATGGGACAGAGAGGGAGGTTACTGTAGGTACACATTTTCTTTCAGTGTTTTATTTACTCTAGCCCACTGAGCACATGATGAAGCAGTTAGTAGACTCAAACACATGCCTGTTTGTATGAGTTTGACCTGAACCCCAATTCCAGTCTCCTTTGAGTGCTTACTAACCTTGGAACCCAGGAAAGTATCTTAATATTAAGGCCATGATGGCAAGCCTTTAGAGCTTTTAGAGCTTTGCAAAGCGCCGGCTGCAGCACACATGCCATAGGTTTGCCACCACAAGATAGAACAGGACCTGCTTCTCACTGTGACTGCACTGCCAAAGTCCAGTCCAAGCTCTTTGTCTCTCATATAATGGCTAGGGTATGGAATAAAGGGAGAATTTTTTTTTCTTTTTTTTTTTTTTTTTTTTGTCTTTTTCATTTTTATCGGTACCAGGGATCAAACCCATGACTGCCTGCTTGCAAGGCAGGTGCGTATGCCGCTGAGCTAAATCCCCAGCCCCTTAAAGGGAGAATTTTTAAAAATTCTGAATATTCTAAATGAGAAGTAAAGCTCTTGGGCAAGAGGAAGACACAATATGCAGTCTCTCTCACCTTGCCATCCCATTTCATCCTTCAAGTGGCTTTTTCTTAAGACAAAATCAAGACTGCAAGCCTTTTTCCTCAAGAAAAGCAGCAAAAATCACAACTGTTTCACCAATTTTTTGCACCAAGAATTCTCTGTTTAAAAAATTTTCCCCTCTGTTAGATACTGTATATTTTTACATTTGTCTAACTTTGTTGGTCTTTGAACAGTTTCATGTACGTGAAAGTTTTTTCCACTATTTTTTCCTTTTGTGCCATACTGGGTGCTGAAACCCCGGCCTTTGCACTGAGATATATCCCCAGACCTTTATTTATTTTTTATTCTTTTTCTTTTTGAAACAAGGTCTCACGGAGTTGCCCAGGCTGTCCACACATATGCAGTCCTGCCATAGCCTCCCAGAGTGCTGGGATTAGACATGTGCCATATACCTAGCCTTTTTTAGTCTGTTTTAATAACCAAACATTTCATATTTTAAGCATTTTGGAGAATTTTTCTGTGGCCCTTGTTTTTCTGTTTTTGGATTTTTTTTTTTTTTTTTTTTTTTTTTTTTTTTTTTTTTGAGACAAGCTCTCACTGTGTAGCCCAGGCTGGTCTTGAACTTACAGTGATCCTCCTCCCTCAGCCTCCCAAGTCTTAGGTTATAGGTGTGTGCCATCATGCCTGGCTGCCTCCATTTTGGTAGGTTTTTTTTTTCTTTTCCATATCACATCCACACTGTAAGTGAACTCCCTACAGCACTCACTCTGTACTAATTCTTTGTTTTTCCTTTTTCCTTCCTTCCTTTTCTTTGTGCTAGGGGTGAAATCCAGGTCTCATGCATGCTGGGCAAGTGCTCTGCCATCAGGCTGCTCCCCAGCACCCTCATCCCCACCTCCTCTTACAGGCCTCACCATTCATCTGTCATGTTTTTCTACAGCCATCAGCCTGTCTGCATTGTGACTGCTCGAAACCATCATTTTTAACTTTTTTGCTTTTACTCTTTTCCCTCCTCTCTGAACTGCCAAGGTGCTGTGCACAGGTCACTGCTGGTTGTGTGACACCAGCATGGTGGCACCTGTGGATCTGTTGCAAGCTGGTACATGCATTTTTCCATCAAATAGTCATCCACTTTATCAAGGGGACACTAAGGCCTGGGTAGGTCACTCAGCAGGAAGCAGTAAGTAAAGCTCCACACATGGCTCTCCTGACTCCCCATCCAGTTCATTTTATACCAGGACCGGGCGTGTGATTGAACACTGACTTACTCCTGAGACTCACTAACTGCACTGGCAGTGGGGTAGGTCCTTTCCAGAGCCACATAGGTGCTTCCTAAAATTTGAATCACTGCGTTCACATGTTTCTAAAATTCTCTGAATGTGCCCACTCTGGAAAGGTTTCCAGCTAGTTTCCCGGAGTAGGCAGTGACTGAAACCCCCTCAGGGATGTCACCACCCTGTCTCTACTGTTTCTGCAGAGCACTTTATCCAGAATCCCTGTCTCTCTTCAGGTGCTTCTGCTTCTGTGGTGCAGGCCAGTCATGGCCTAGAAGCGTCTGCTGGCTTGGGTGGCAGGACATGTCCTGAGGTATGGAGTGTTAGTTCTCTGTACCACACATTGTGCCACAGCTGCCACCAAGCTTTTTCAGCACCCAGCTGGCTGGAGAGCTGCGTCCAGACACACCTCAGCCTTCACCTAGGAACTTTGAGCTGCTTGGGGCACTGAACAAGGGGGAGCCGTTTCTGGGGGAGTTAGGAGATAGGGTTAGAAACTGTTTAGTGACAGATCCATGCTGACCTCAGAAGTCTCTGTCTCATGCTGGTGTTGCACAGGTTGTAGTGAGTGACAGCTGGTTCCACAGTGCTTCTGAGCAGAAAGGGACCCAGGACTATCTAGTCTCATCTCATTTATAGGTAACCGCACTGAAGCTCAGAAAGGTGAGGTGATTGCCAGGTCACACAGGAAGCGCATTTCAAATACAATTTGCTGATAAAAACTGAGGACCAGTCCAGTACTTGGTGGGTATAGTTAGAATAGGGAAATGCTACCTGTGCCTTGGTGCCCTGGAAGTGCAAATTTGGGGAAGACATCTAAGGAGGACCTAGTGGCTTCTGTGCTTCCCCACAGGGAAGCTGCAGCTGCTGCTCTCCCAGTGCTGGGGAGCAGCAATGCCATTTTGTTTTTTGTTTTGTTTTGTTTTTGGTGCCTGGGATTGAACTCACAGCCTCACATTTGCGAGACAGGCACTTATGTCGCTGAGCTAAACCCCCAGCCCCTTAGCAATGCCATTTTGAAACCTCTGTGTCAAGGGAACTGCTATCCTTTAGGAATTAGCATCTGAATGTGTATGTTGCAGAGCCCAGGAATGCAGCCCACATTGAAGCCCTTGGAGCACAATGCAGTTAGAGGGCCCCACCATGAGTAGTCTGCACATACAGGGAGCTTGATGACCCAGTTAGGCCAGGCAGGTGGTGTCTAACATCATTGTACTTGCACATCACAAGGCACAAGTCAGAAGTATGCTCAGAGGCCACCTTCCCCAGTTCAGCCCACCGTGGATTCCAAGTCCCACCACGTGTCCTGTCACCCCCTGGAGGAGTCCCAGCAGGCCTGCACATGCATTTGGGAAATGATACATTCATCTCCCATAGCTTCCTGTGAGTGTCAACCTTAGAACCTGGATCTTCCTGCCATGCTCAGGACCTGTCCTGCAGGTTTCTGAATCATCTTATACTAGTGACCTGCTGCTGACCTACTGCCTGGCAAGGGAAGTGCTGTGGAGTCATGCCCACATGGTGATTCTGCAGGTGGGCACATTCCCCAGGAATGCCCTCACCCAACTGCTCATGCAGCAGGAATTCAACCAGGAGTCCTTGGCTTATCTTCATTCAAGGAAGGCGACTGGGTGCTGCTCAGTCCAGTGACTGAAGCACTTTCCCAAGATCAGCACATGTTAGAAAC